AGTGGAGGAGGATGAGGCAGTACAGAATGTCCCATCTACAACCATTAAGAAGTGGTGTCATGTGTGGGAAGAAATACAAACTTTTATTGAAATGACTTACCCAGAGAAAGCTGTAGTAGGCCTTTGCATAAATCTTTTCAATGACAATGTGATGCTTCAGTACAGAGAAATCTTGTGAAGAAGGGAAAAACAATCTTCAATGGACCGCTTCGTTGTGAGAAACTCGAGCAGTGAGCCACAACCAGGACCTAGTGGTATGCAGGCAAAACGTGCAAGAGAATGCACCCCAGAGGGGTCCTCACTGACTGATGTGATAATGGAAAGGGACTCCCCTTCCAAACAGTAACACCTCTCCTCCCACCCTTCCTTCTCACTGTCTTCCATACACGAACAGCTGTCATCAGCAAGGGTAAGTAATAACTTTAACATACTTTTGTTGTGTAGATTTTGATGAATTAGGTATAAAATTTAGTTTGAAGTGAGGTTTTTGGGTAGTCAGGAAAGGATTAATTCATTTCCCATTACAGTGTTACATTGGAATACGAGTGTCCCTGTATACGAGTTTTTCGGAATACGAGCAGGATTTCCTCGGAAAATGTGTCTCGGAAGGCGAGGGTTACCTCGGAACGCGAGTTTGTTGATACGCGTTCAGGCCGACCTAGCGCGTCATGGTACGGCGATCGTCACCCCTCCGCCCCTCAGTTTACCAGTGTCTCGCGCGCAGTGACTACCCCACATCAATTCTTCACCCGGATTTTCAGTGTTTTGTTGGATTTTTGGTCCTTTGACTATAAAATTTGTTATTATATATCTCACCATGGGTCCCAAGAAAGCCAGTGGTAAGGATCAAGGCAAGAAAGCTCATGTGAGGATCTTGAGGTTATCTTGAGATGATTTTGGGGCTTTAGTGTCCCCGAGGCCCGGTCCTCGACCAGGCCTCCACCCCCAGGAAGCAGCCCATGACAGCTGACTAACACCCAGGTACCTATTTTACTGCTAGGTAACAGGGGCATAGGGTGAAAGAAACTCTGCCCATTGTTTCTCGCCAGCGCCTGGGATCGAACCCAGGACCACAGGATCACAAGCCCAGTGTGCTGTCCGCTCGGCCGACCGGCTCCCAGGATGACAATAGAGGAGAAACAAGAGATCATTCGGAAGCTGAGAATGGTACACGTGTTGTTGAACTTTGTAGGCAGTACAACAAAGCCACATCAACAATATGCACTATACTTAAGAAGAAAAATGAGATTATGAGTGCTAAAGTGGCAAAAGGAGTAAGAACAATGACGAAACAAAGACCACAAATGCTTGAAGAAGTGGAAAAGTTGTTATTAATTTGGATACACGACAAGGAATTAAGGAGTGATAGTGTTTCGGAGGCCATCATTTGTGAGAAAGCCAGGGTATTGCATGAAGACCTTGTAAAGAAAACCCCTGCAACGAGTGATGTAGATACGAAAGAGTTTAAGGCAAGCAGGGGCTGGTTTGAAAAATTTAGAAAAAGAAGTGGTATCCATAGTGTTGCGAGGCATGGGGAGGCAGCCAGCTCAGACAAACCAGCCGCTGAACGATTTATTGACGAATATAAAGAGTTTGCAGAGGCTGAGGGATACCTACCGCAACAAGTGTTTAATTGTGACGAAACAGGACTGTTTTAGAAAAGAATGCCTAAGAGGACATACATTACCAAGGAGAAAAAATCCTTGCCCAGACACAAGCCTATGAAAGATAGGTTTATGCTTGTGCTGTGTTCAAACGCAAGTGGCGATTTGAAAATTAAACCCTTGCTTGTGTATCATTCTGAAAATCCAAGGGTTTTCAAACAGTATAAAGTGCAGAAAACTCAAATGTGTGTGATGTGGAAGTCTAATAAAAAAGCATGGGAGACTAGGCTTATTTTTTCGGAGTGGGTGAATGAAGTGCTGTGCCCTGCCATAGAAAAATATCTGCAGGAGAAACATTTGCCACTCAAGGCCCTGCTTCTCCTTGACAATGCTCCTGCTCATCCCCCAGGCTTGGAAGATGATTTGTTGCCCAGATATAATAAATTCCTCACAGTTAAATTCCTTCCTCCTAACACCACTCCTCTAATTCAGCCTATGGACCAGAAAATCATAGCAAATTTTAAGAAAATTTATGAAAGGGCACTTTTCCAGAAATGTTTTGAAGTGACTGAAGCCACAAACCTCACCCACAAAGAGTTCTAGAAACACCATTTTAACATTTGTAGTGCTTTAAAACTTGTTGACAAAGCCTGGCAAGAAGTGACTCAAAGAACTCTGATCTCTGGCTGGAGAAAATTGTGGCCTGAATGTGTGACAGAACTAGACTTTGAGGGGTTTGAGCCTGTAAATGATGCGCCTATTGTTGAGGAAATTGTTACTCTGGGCCGGCAAATGGGCTTGGAATTGGATGGTGATGATGTGGAGGAGTTGGTGGAAGAACACAATGAAGAACTGACCACCAACGAACTCCAAGCCCTTCAACAGGAACAGCAAGACAACGCAGCTGATGATTCTCCAGTGGAGGAGGATGAAGCAGTAGTGAATGTCCCTTCTGGAGAAATTAAGAAGGTGTGTCAGATGTGGGAAGAGATTCAAACTTTTATTGAAAACACTCACCCAGAGAAAGCTGTAGTAGGCCATTGCCATAATCTTTTCAATGACAATGTGATGCCTTACTACAGAGACAGCTTGCGAAGAAAGGAAAAGCAAGCTTCCATGGACAGATTTGTGGTGAAAAAATCGAGCAGTGAGCCACAACCAGGACCTAGTGGTACTCAGACAAAACGTGCCAGGGAGTGCACACCAGAAAGGTCCTCACTGCTTGATGTGATAATGGAAGGGGACTCCCCTTCCAAACAGTAACTCCTCTCCTCCTCCCCCTCCTCACCATCTTCCATAGGCCTACAACATTCATCAACAAGGGTAAGTAATAACTTGAACATAGTTTTGTAGGTTTATTTAGATGAATTAGATATAAAAATTTAGTTTGATGTGGGGTTTTTGTGGTAGTCAGGAACGGATTAATTTATTTCCCATTATTTCTTATGGGGAAATTAGCTTCAGAATACGAGTTTTCGGAATACGAGCTGTCTCCAGGAACGGATTAAACTCTTAAACCGAGGTACCACTGTATATTATTACTTATGGTGAAATTAGCTTCGGTTTACGAGTTTTTGGGTTACGAGCTGTCTCCAGGAATGGATTAAACTTTTAAACTGAGGTACTCCCCAGTGTGTGTGTATGTATGTATGTATGTTATTATTATATATATATATATATATATATATATATATATATATATATATATATATATATATATATATATATATACTGTATATATATATATATATATATATATATATATATATATATATATATATATATATATATATATATATATATATATATATATATATATATTTATATATATATATATATATATATATATATATATATATATATATATATATATATATATATATATATATATATATATATATATATATTATTTATTTATTTATTTACACACACTGTAGGCCTAGAAATATTATCCTTATTAACAATGCACTCAAGCCAATTCACTTTAGTGATTTATGTGCTTACAAATCAAAATTCAACACTTACATATAAATGCATACATATATATTATTATTATTATCCTAGAAATATTATCCTTATTAGCAATGCACACAAGCCTAGATTTAGTTAATTATATGCTCACATATCAAAATTCAACACTTACATATATATATATATATGCATACATATACATATATATGTATACATATATAAAAAAAACTGTATAAAATATCAAAGGCAAACTCTGGAGTGTTGTCTCTCACAGCAATGCCAGCAAAGTCAGCATCAGTGTTGACATACACTCGTAGGGGCCTCGTAGCCTGGTGGATAGCGCGCAGGACTCGTAATTCTGTGGCGCGGGTTCGATTCCCGCACGAGGCAGAAACAAATGGGCAAAGTTTCTTTCACCCTGAATGCCCCTGTTACCTAGCAGTAAATAGGTACCTGGGAGTTAGTCAGCTGTCACGGGCTGCTTCCTGGGGTGTGTGTGTGTGTGGTGTGGAAAAAAAAATAGTTAGTAAACAGTTGATTGACAGTTGAGAGGCGGGCCGAAAGAGCAAAGCTCAACCCCCGTAAAAACACAACTAGTAAACACACACTGACCTAGACCATCACGCAAACATTCACAGCTAGTACACCAAGTAAAAAGATAAATATTTATATTTTTCCAAATTTTCTTATATTTTTATGCAAACTGATAATTCTATAGGAAAAATATCTCGGGGAACTTTTTACATTTTTTGTGTATAGGTGCATGATATTTTAATAGTAGCACATTGAGATTTAAGAATACAAGGCTAGTAGGCAGGGTATAAAGAACTAGACCTTATTTCCATGTAGTCACTGACACGTAAGCACCAATAGATACGCACAGTAACTGAAAAACAAAGGTTACAAGGAAAGACAGGAGGCATTAAACATGCCAAAACAAAAAGATTGAAGAAAAAGAGGAGATGTGATCACCACTTACAAAATACTAACAGGAATTGACCAAATTGACAAATTCCTGAAACTAGCAACTTCACAAACATGAGGCCACAAATTCTAACTAAGGATACAAAGGTGCCAAAAAAATATTAGAAAGTTTTCTTTTGCAGAGTGGTAGACGGTTGGAACAAGCAAAGTGAGAAGGTGTTGGAGGCCAAAACCGTCAATAGTTTCAAATACGACAAAGAGTACTGGGAAGACGGGACACCATATGAGCGTAGCTCTCAGCCTATAACTACACTTAGGCAATTACACTTAGGTAATTACACGAGCCATCTCCAAATTATAACATTCGTCCTTTTCTTCACTAAAGAACACAAGTCTAACTATTACATAACAAATGTGATAGCTGTGACCATGAGTGTTGGGTTGGTGTACTGCAACCAACCTGCTTTTATTTCAGGCATCTCAAATGCTCTAAGTACCAACCTTGTCTTCTTCTTCTTGACGTCTTTACTACGGGACCGTGACCGATCTCGGGACTTCTTCTTCTTCTTGTGATCACTGGCCATCTTGTTCTTTACGCAGTTTACAGGGCGCTCGCCGCCACCAACCAGCCAACAACGTTCCCAAAATCAGAAGTAAACAAAACAGCTGTTCGTGACGACAGAACATTCTTTCAGGAAAAACTGTTCTTGAAGAGAATGCATCCTTAGCAAACGTCTTTATAGGTTATCGGGCAATTTGATTAAATAAATAAATAAATGTTTATTTAGGTAAGGTACATACATACAAGAGATTTTACAAAGTTTGTTGGATTAATAGATAGAGCTAGTACATACAATGCCTAAAGCCACTATTACGCAAAGCGTTTCGGGGATTCCTATTTATTTCATTGCTTATGTATTTATATATTTATAAGTGCAATGTGTTTTGAGAAACAAATTTATGTGTAAATGGTACATTGCCGCAAACCCTCTACTATGTGACATGTATGTTATTCATGTAGTCTACGTTCTCCATTCACAATCGGGGATCCGAGCACGCTTCCCAATTTAATTTCTTTATTATGCACCCCATACCCATCCCGTGGGCGGTAGTGTAAAGGATTACAGAGGCACATAATCGGTTCAGGAACTGAGCCCTCTAGTTCGTTTAGCTAAGCAAATAACAATTTTTGAGGCAAGTTACAAAATTATTAATGTTATATATACATATATACATGTACACATTATCATACATACATGTACATATATATATACGTATACATATATACATACACATACATATTTAATCACCCACACAAATACACACATCAATAATCTTTTGTGTCACAAGTGATTCAACAGAGGCTCACAACAGTCACTATACAAGGCACTTTACATCTATAGTAAGTCACACAGTTACTAGTCTTGCTCCACACCCACCCAACTGGGCGGCAGCTTTACAGTCATGTGCTCCACACCCACCCAACTGGGCGGCGGCTATAGTCATGTGCTCCACACCCACCCAACTGGGCGGCGGCTATAGTCATGTGCTCCACACCCACCCAACTGGGCGGCAGGTTTACAGTCATGTGCTCCACACCCACCCAACTGGGCGGCGGCTATAGTCATGTGCTCCACACCCACCCAACTGTGCGGCGGCTATAGTCATGTGCATGCATTACCTACAGTAAGCAAATTTTGGATACTTCGCTAAGATTTCGGGCAGCACATCATTATGAATGAAGTACTTACACATTTCTTGGACACTATTGATGGTGTTATCTCTAAATTCCGCGATTTTTTCACATTCCATTATATAATGACGTAAAGTATGCGAATAGTTCTGCTGACAGAGGTTTACATTTAGTCAAATCTACATCAGCAGATGTTACAAATTCCCAGAGGTACTTGTAGCCGAGCCTAAGCCTAGCAGTGGTAACATCTAGAAGGCTTCCCTTCACCTGATACACCTATTTACCCCCTATTTACCTAGCAGTAAATAAGTACCCGGAAGTTAGCCATGCAATTATTTTGAGTCGCATCTTGGGTAAGGTCATTAGTTCGACCTCGGGGAACTATTTATTTATTTATTTATTTTTTATTTATTTATATATATATACAAGAAGGTACATTGGGTTTGTGAGAATACATTGGATAGTACAGTATTTACATTCTTGTAAAGCCACTAGTACGCACAGCGTTTCGGGCAGGTCCTTAATCTAGCAGATAAATTTAAGTAGGTAATTTCTATCAGAATTGATAAATGATAAAGATACATTGCAAGAGAAAAATGAGATGAGAGAGCTTAGTAAGTATATTAAAGCACATTGTTATATTAAAGCTCTGATTGATTACATTGACAGCTTGATTAGTAATTTAAACAAGATTAATCTGCACGCTCAGAGAACAAGATCTCTGCACGCTCTCAGGTCGGCAATTTGGGTAAGGTAGGTTACAGGGAATTTATTAGGTAGTGCTTCGTTTTTATATCGACATTATTTTATTATTATTATTATTATTTTATTATTATTATTTTATACTATCGACATACTACTTTGACTTTACAGCCATTCTACTAGTAAGCCTTACCTTATGTCAGGTAATTCCTTCTTCCTTGGCGGCTCGGCCTCTGGCCTGGGGTTATTTTCTTCTCCAAATACAGTACATATCAGGCTTTCCCAGTCACTATGTATTTTTCCGCCGCCTGATTATTCTCCAGCTAGGGTTTCCCTTATGTTATGTTGTTCACTTTGGTGTCCTGTTATACTTAGAATTAGATTTGTTACATTCGCCTCACTGCTAATTCTAGACAATAGGACATTAGGTTTATGCAGAGTTTGTTACTAGGCTATAAGATTACGTTATTTTACTACGGGTGTACAATTTAAGATGTTTCGTGTACTTTGAGTTAGCCACGGCTATGTTATACATTTGTTAAGACTTACTTATGACCTAAATTATGTCAATTTTCAATTAGGGACAAAAAATGCTACAATCTTCAGTGTCCGGAATTCCATGTGAGAGGTACAGAGCGTTATAGACGGGAAGATCAATATGACACTACTGGAAATTTTTTAGAGGAAGGCAGAAACAGAGTAGTAAATATAAGAGAGAGGAACAGTCAGATGGAACCACTACAGGATTACAGAGGGGAACGGAGATACCCACAAGACTGGAATTCAAATTATCAACAAGCACACAGGTACTACACCAGACAACATCCGTCCTACTACCAAAACTGGACGAATCACTTCCAAAACAACACACCCTGGACGCAAACACAGTGGCCTCCTTACCAGAGCCTCAGATATTAACACCAAGTAAGGCTTCCAGCACTTCCACTAACACGATAACATCATTTATATTTGCCAACATCCAGGGTATAAAAACACGCAAAACCAACAAAGTTCACTTTATAGATGGTCTCCTTCATGAGGCAAATGCAGTGTTTGCAGCCCTAACAGAAACCCACACAAAGGATCGACTATCATGATGGTGAAATATGGATCTCAGAGTACAATCTTTTCAGATGTGATAGGAAACACCGGCTTCAGGGTGGGGTCAGCCTCTACATCAAAGACACACTCATCTGTACTGAGCTGCTAAACACCTCAAATGATATGGTGGAAGTGATGATAATCAAAATAGAGATTTTAAATGTAGTTATTGTCCTTGTATATAAGTCACCGGAGGCAAACCCTCAGCAGGTTAAAGAACAACTAATGAAAATAGAGCACTGCTTGGAAAACCTCACAAATCCAGCTCCGAACATCATCCTGCTTGGGGACTTCAACCTACGGCACCTGAAATGGAAGCACCTGGCTAATATAGTAATATCAGAAAGAATACCAGGAAGTAGCCTAAATGAACAGGCACATGCAAATGACCTGCTACGGATGTGCGACAGGTTTGCCTTAAACCAGCAAATAGTAGAACCAACTAGGAAGGAGAACACGCTGGACCTCATTTTCACTAATAATGATGAATTGATCAGGAACATAATAATAATAATAATAATAATAATTTTTATTTAGGCAAAGGTACATACATAAAGAGATTTTACAAAGTTTGTTGGCTTTATAGATAGAGCTAGTACATACAATGCCTAAAGCCACTATTACGCAAAGCGTTTCGGGCAGCTCCTTTCAGCGATAATGATTACAAATACCTGTTACTCAGATCACAACTTAATTGAAGTTATGACAACCATGGGGAGTAGACCTTCAAAACCAGTCCAGATTCCCGGTGGAGGAGATTTCAGCAAATTCAACTTCAATAATAAACAGATAAACTGGGAGCAAATAAACCAGGACTTCACAGAAATAAACTGGGAAGAACAGCTAGAAAATGCAAACCTGAACCAGTGCCTGGAAAAAATAAGCTCAGTAGCACTAGAAATATGTTCAAACCGCATACCTCTAAGAAAAAAGAGGAAGAGATGCAGATTGGAACGGGAACGTCGTTCCCTATATAGGCGAAGAAAACGAATCGCGGAACAACTTGAGAGTCGCATCCTATCTCAAGAACGGCGAAGAAGGTTAGGTAGAGAAATAGAAACAATTGAACGGAAGCTACAAGAATCATACAAAGTCCAGGAGAGGCAAAGAGAGCAAAAGGCCATCAGTGAAATAGAAAGAAATCCGAAATATTTTTTCTCCTATGCAAAATCAAGATCAAAAACCACATCTAGTATCGGGCCCCTGCGAAAGGGAGATGGAACTTTCACCGATGACAACAAAGAAATGCGCGAGCTACTGAGAACGCAGTACGACTCTGTTTTCAGCGAGCCATTAAACACACTAAAGATTGATAACCCAAATGAATTTTTCATTGATACGATACCAACATCAAATCATATATCAGACGTCACCCTATCCCCACTGGATTTTGAAGAAGCCATAAACAGTATGCCTATGCACTCTGCACCAGGCCCGGATTCTTGGAACTCCATATTCATAAAGAACTGTAAAAAAACACTATCGCAGGCCCTCCACATTCTGTGGAGACAAAGCCTAGATACTGGCGTTATTCCTGATATACTAAAAACAGCAGAGATAGCACCACTTCATAAAGGAGGAAATAAGGCAGAGGCAAAAAATTACAGACCGATAGCGCTAACATCGCACATCATAAAAAATTTTGAGAGAGTGCTAAGAAGTAAAATCACAAAATACATGGAATCACAGCAACTCCATAACCCTGGACAACATGGTTTCAGAACAGGGCGCTCTTGCCTGTCGCAGTTGCTGGACCACTATGATATGGCATTAGATGCTATGGAAGACAAACATAACGCGGATGTAACTTACACAGATTTCGCAAAAGCTTTTGATAAATGTGACCATGGTGTTATTGCACATAAAATGCGTTCAAAAGGAATTACCGGAAAAATAGGCAGATGGATCTACAATTTCCTGACCAACAGAACCCAATGTGTAATAGTCAACAAAATAAAATCCAGCCCATCAACCGTGAAGAGCTCAGTCCCCCAGGGTACTGTGCTTGCTCCAGTACTTTTTCTCATCCTCATTTCGGACATAGACAAGAACACAACCTATAGCACTGTATCATCCTTTGCAGATGACACTAGGATCTTCATGAGAGTAGGCAACATAGAGGACACGGCGAACCTCCAGTCAGATGTAGATCAGGTCTTTC